TGATATCGATTGAATTATTAACGAAGCTCAAAATAAATCCAGATAATTGCTTTAGGCTCCAATAACAGCTTGCTTTGGAGTTATGAAGACTTAGAAGAACACTAGAAACTTTTCAGGCAGAGGCAGCGGAAGAGGGTTTCGATGACATCGGTATTGACTTGACATTTTATTTCTTTTGGTTACGACTTTCTGACAAAAGCCGCAGCACTGAGGCTCTGTTTGGACCTGTAGAAGGTTCTCGTACGGGAGAGAGGTGGTGGTGAATTGTGATGAAGCGTCCCATTTCGCCTCTCCTTAAGTGAGAGACGTCTTTGCGTGAGGTGCAGACAGAGAGGGATCGATGGACAAAGTTGACTCTCTGAATTATTCAGACAGTGGTTATGGATGCCTTGGGGAATAGAGAGGACTTTGCCCTGTGTGTTTATGTTTGTTTGTGTGTGATGGGCATTGAAGATGGCCCTTTGCTGAAGGCGCACTTGAATCGGAAACTTGATATTCTTAGAGGGCCGTGGGAATTGACTCAAACTTTTAAAGATCTGACTTTGACTTGAGAGTTAAAGGCTCTGTAAAGGTTTAAAGGCTTCAGAGGGACTGCCAGTAAATGTCTCGGGCTCTCTCGGCTGTGTGTGTGTGTGTGTGTGTGTGTGTGTGTGTGTGTGTGTGTGTGTGTGTGTGTGTGTGTGTGCGTGTGTGTGTGTGTGTGTGTGTGTGTGTGTGTGTGTGTGTGTGTGTGTGTGTGTGTGTGTGTGTGTGTGTGCCAGCAGATGTGAGGATGTGGATAGGTGTGCCAGTGATGCAAAAAAAAGGTCCAAAGGCGAATGCATGTGCAGCCTAAAACGTGGAGTGATTTGAACACTCAAACATGTATACAAGTGCTCCGGTGATGTGTGCTAATGGAAAAAGCCACACACTCATGAAAGGAACATGAGCTCCAAGAGTGTGTCTGTAATGAAGATCCAGCAACGGTGACGAGCAGATGGTCCGAGCTCTTCCTGGATCGTCTATGAAACTGGCTCGATGTACTGTTCTCTTTCTGAATACTGTTTGTCTCCAACTTTCCATTCTTTAACTTCAGATACGCTTCAGTCAATTCAAAGGCAGTTCACTGGCATCTGAACAAGGATAACTTATGGTAAAAGCAGCACAGTTTCTGTGTTTGATGCTCTGGACTCTGCTCAAATAATATAGTTTCTTCTTGCATCCATCAACACATAACATAGCAGCAAAAGTTTCAAAGCTTATAATGTAGGAAACTGCACATTTAAGAGACAGTTTTCAACATTTTTAGTACACTTAGTCCATTCTGTGTGACAAATATGAAGCTGAAACCAGCAACCGGTTTACGTTTTTGGTTGCGTTTCCACTTGGCGTAGTACCGGCTAGCGGGTACTATTTCACAGTTTTTCTGGCCCCATAAAATCGAGGTTCTTAGCGGGCCAACAACCAGGCTGAGTCGGGCTGAGTATGCTAAACTAGAGAGAGAATCGCTGGCAAGGGGGCTACAACTACAATAAAATGAACATATTTTACCGTGATTTAATTGTAATACACGTTTCAAAATGATGCCGAAGTAACAACATACTGATAGCGGTTAGTAAAAACCATGAATTAATGCTTTGACAAGTCTGCAGACAGACGGCAGGCGAAAAACCTTTTAAAATGCGTGTTTTCTAAATGGAGATTGGCTAAGCTAACGCAGTATATGCTCCGACCGTCCACACTCACAACAACGACCTACAGACATAAATAAACCAGCGACTGTATTCGCCATGACACAGACAGTCTGTGGTTTGTACTTGTTTAACTTTTGTCTAGTTTCTGAACAGATATGAGGAGCTGTGAGCTCTGAGTGCTAACAGCTAACGGCTGATGTTGTTTTTCTGGGGTTCGCATTGAAGATGACGTCACGGCTCCGCCTACACTGCGTTACTATAGTTACTGCCCCAGCTACTAAACTGTGAGCCAGTCCTAACAAGGCCTAACAAGGCCTAACTATACTGTACTAATTAGCGAGGCCCTGCAATGGAAATGCGCCATTAGACACAAAGACTGAAAACAGGGGGAAAACAGCTATCCAAATCAGCACCTGTATACCCTGTTAGAAGGAGAACAAGACCCTTAATTTATTCAGTTGAAATTCAGTTGTTATTAAACCGGCGACCCTTCGGTTCCCAAGCCAATTCCTTACAGATTGAGCTACTGCCACCCCTAATTTACAATGAACTTATTACTTATTACTTGTTAAATGGTGGCTAAAAAGGAATTTTGCAAATAGTGCGCTGGACTATGTCTTGGTAGTTTATGTTTTGGATGCCTGGCAAACTCACAGTGACAACAAGACTCTAAGTTGCTGAAACAGTCAAGAAAAAGCTTTGCCCAAAAGGAAAATGAACCCCTAGATAGAATGACAAATGGATGTCGTGCCATTTGTTAATCAAGGGGCCTCATGGTCTTAAAAGTGCTTCCTGTTCTCGGCTTCCTATACTGTCAAGATGGAGACAAACAAACATGTTGCATCTGGTCTTACTTTAGTAAATGATTAAATATCTGGTATGCAATTAATCTCCAAATGTTCCGGTTCAACATGAGATCAATATTTGACACAGGACTAAATGTGGCCTGTAACAGACTATGCAAGGTGTATTTTTATCCTGGCCGAATGCCTGGAATTTGGACATTAAAGGTAGTATTCGTGAGGGTAATTAATATCAGACAGGGCTCTGAGGGTACATCACACAGCGCCTTACAGTCTGACCATCTGTGCCCAGAAGAGGATTTGATTTGCACCTGAGGGTGGATGTTGATTTGATCTTGTGATAAATAAGATTAGCTAAATGTTAAGCTAAGAGGACAAATATCCACGGTACAAGACGTCTGTGGCATTCACAAACAAAGCTAATTTCTTCTAATTGGACTCCCCAGCGGCCTCAAGTGGAATTTTTTTTCATTATTGCTCACCTCTCGTTCACCTTGTAACAAATAGAGGTTTAATAAGCAGCCGTCATCCTATCCCTCATAGCACAAGAGATACAGATGGTGAAAGAGTAATGGATTATGACTGCGCCAATGTGGAGAGATGGAAAAACTCAACATATATTTCACAAAATGTTTGCCTTTCTGTTTTCTGAGTTATTCATGAGCACCATCTGCTGGATGAGGCTAAATAAGGACTTCCTGTCTGGGACTGTCGTGTCTTGAATGAGTCACAATAACATGTGGAGGGTAAAAAACACACAGAATCATGCTATTAAGTTAAATTTGATAACTATATTTGTATTTGGAAAAAAAATTCTCATTCCATGTACACCGCCTTAGTGATGTGTGGTTCATGTTTATGCACTGCACATATCTTTATGAGTGTGTCAGTACCGACAGTTTAGTGACAATGAACAGTATTTACAGTGAGCACACGAGAGAAAACACTTTTAAAAATGAAAATAGGTTATATTCATAGGATATTTTTAAATAAATAAACAATGGCTGTGACAGCGCTTTCACACCCTCATGAGGAACATACATGATCAAAAACAGATGGTCGAGGCACTATATTGCTTCATTTGTCCGATAGCTTTTCACCCAGACTTCTGATTGGCCACTTCCCTCGTCCCTCTCTTTCTGTCCTCTTTGAGATCTGCGGCTTCACGTATCGACCCGTCCCCTTCAGTGGAAGCACCATCAACTTCCCTTGTCTAATGGCCAATTAGGAAACTAAAGCAAAGTATCTTCATACTGACATATAATCTATTTAATGATTGGTTGAAAGTGACTTGTCAGACTCACGCTTAATCACTTCAGAAGGGATTTAGGAGGGGAGGGAATAGAGCCAGTGGTGGCAAAAAGTATCCAGATCCTTCACTCAAGTAAGGGTACCAATACTACACTTAAAAATGGTACTTAAGTATTTAAAGGGCTCCTATTCTGCTGATTTTCAGGTTCATATTTGTATTTTGTGTCTCTACTATGACATGTTTCCATGCTTAAATGTTCAAAAAGGTCTTTATTTTTCTCATTCTCACACCTCTTTTCACCCTCTGTCTGAAACCAGAGCCCAGTCTGCTCTGATTGGTTAGCTGGTTGGCTCTGTTGTGATTGGTCAACCGCTTAGAGATGTCCCAAGCCCCTAACCTATCACATACAATGTGTTGGAGCGCTAGCCAATAGAAGTGCAAGTGTTACATAGTGATGTCACTATCTCCCAGAAGTAAATTGAGGAGTCCCATGGAGGTGTTTCAGGCGGGGGGTGGGGTTCCTCTGGAGGGAACGCAGGGATTTGAGCCTTTGCAGACCATTTACATGCACACAAACCTATATAACACACTACAGGAAAGGGAAATCCCCAAAAAGCATAATAGGACCTCTTTAAATAAAAGCAGGAAAATGTACTTAAAGTGTTGAGAGTAAAAGTGCTAATTGCAGAAGATCTCCATATCAAAAATAAATTAAAATAATTAAAAGGAAAAGCAGCAACTCTTCAAATTTGCAAAGCCAGAACCATTAAATGTATTTAAGCATAAAATGATTGATCTGAATCAGCCAGTTGTTTTTTTGGTCAACCCACTAATTGTTTCAGGCAATACGATATGTTGTTCAATATTTTGTTCTCCATATGTTCCGTACGTAAAATTCTTAGCTTAAAAATAAAGTGAAGAGTCATAAGATATCAAGTAAAGTCAAGAGGTACCTCAAATTAGTACTTAATTACAGTACTTGAGTAAATGTTCTTAGATACAGTCCACCACTGGAAAGAATAAGGGTGACATTTTCATGTGTTTTGGTGTAAAGTTTTGAATCATTTATAAATTATTGATCTCAATCCAACAGTAGAGAACAGGAAAGAGATGGTTTAGTGCTACAGAGATGACAACGAGCCAACTAGTGTGATGGCAGATTTAACAGAGTGCACCTCAGTGTGTGTGTGTGTGTGTGTGTGTGTGTGTGTGTGTGTGTGTGTGTGTGTGTGTGTGTGTGTGTGTGTGTGTGTGTGTGTGTGTGTGTGTGTGTGTGTGTGTGTGTGTGTGTGTGTGTGTGTGTGGATATGTTTCAGAAAAAAGGCGAGAGTGGGAGTACTACATCTAGCCAGCAGAGTCAGTATCCAAAGCAGGGATGTGAGCTGAAAGCAGTGGGAGATATCTCAATAGAAATCAGATTTTGAAGGGTCATTTCACCCAATTACATAACATTTAGTTTCATACAATTAATTCATATGCCCACATTTGTATATATCTGTGTCCAAATGTACAAATATCTGTACAAATATCTGTAGTTTCTGGGATGATAACCGAAAACTTTTTTCTTTGCAATAATATTGTTTGGGGAATTTTGGTTTTTTGGTTTTAATTAATGCATGAGTCACCACCTTAAAGCATTTTAAGAGTGGAAAGTGTCAGTGTGGAACCAGAAGTGATTAAAAACAGTTTTTGTTGTCGAACAGTATGAACAGTGTCAGTCATTTTCAGTCAGTTTCCGGCCACCCTAAAGCCCAGCAGCAGTCCAGACTACTCCTGAGGTCCCGGGCCTTTCATAGCCATGCCGGCCCCCACCATGGCTGGATAACTGCGGTTCCTCCTCATCCCATCGGGTCCAAAGGGGGAGCCGGACCGCCGCAGCCCGCCCAGAGGCCCCAGGATGGGCCCGGGACTCATGGTTCTCCCCCCTGGAGCTCCGGCCACACCCAACCTCTTCACTTTGTCCAGCAGGTTGAGGTTGTGTACGGTCACGCTAACGTCCGTCTGGCTCTCGCAGTCCCTCCCTCTCTGCCGGCCCCTCATCCTCCCCGTCACCTCCTTCAGGATGGAGCGGGCCGGTCTGGAGGTGAGGAAGTTGTCGTAGGAAGGGCTTTTGAAGTCGAAGCCAGCGGACGTCGACACGGCTGAAGCTCCCGGTCCCGTGGGGGAGTTTGGAAGCGTGGAGGGGCGCAGGGGGTCGGGGTTGGGGGCTCTGTTAGGGGTGATGGAGGTGCTGAATAGGACCCCCCCGTTGCCCTGGCCATACTCCAGGCCCTGGCTCTGGTGATACATGGCTGCTGAGATCCCTCGCTCCTGCAGGAGGCGCACCAGCCCCAGGGAGGTGCTGGTGGTGCGTGTCGCATCTCTGCACAGACAAATGAGAGTTAATAATACTGACTGTTAGGTGCTGAATTATTGAGAAAAAAGTGAAATAAAAAAAAGGTATGTTGAATGCATAAAAATAATACATTTTATTTACTAAAGTTTGTACTTTTAAAAAGGTACTCAGAGACTTCATCATATACAGGGTAAAACTAATTAAACGGTTCAGAGAAAATACATTTTGTTTAGTTATTTATACATATGCAGTTTTTTTTACAAAAACAAGTCTTGTTTTAAGGAAACTAAGACCAAGCGAATTGTGATATGCAGTAAAGTGATTTTAAAAATGTACTTTAAGTTTCTTGAATTTACAATTCATCATAAACAAAGCAAATACAGTTTCGCTTTTTACAGTAGCAGCAAGAAAACATATACAAAATGAAGTTATTTTCTGTTGTTTTTAAACCGTACCTGAGGTTGGTGGAGGATTCGGACGGCATGAGGCTGAGCCTGCGGGGGGTGCAGGGCGTCACAGCAGGGGTCCCCAACAGAGAGCTGGTCATCACACAGGAGGACGACGAGGGGACGGGGTTCAGACTGGAAGTAAAGCAAGCAAAGAGATTTAGAAACATTAAGAAAGGATACTTCTTGCTGATTTGAGCAATAGAAGTTCCACCTTTATTATATCTCATCATTGTACCTCCACAATTGGGATGTTGTTTCTTCGAACCACAAGCACCTGCATGTATTATTTAGCACTTTACTGTATTGAGGAAGCGAATAGTGTTACTTTTTTACGATCCTATCTAAGTGACTGTGGTTCAGATATTTATTTGTCCTGTTGGATAAAGTCCAATTCAGACTGAGTGCACACTTAGCGCTCTGCAGGAACATTTACACATAAGATGCATTATATAATTAAACTGTTTATCACTATATATGAAATGTAATATAAAACACATTTTGGTTGCTTTTTAAAAGCTCAAAACAGAGGAGAGTTTGCATTCATTACATTACATGTCACTTGTTAGACGCTAATATCCAAAGCGACTTACATACTCAATACTGTGGGCAATCCCCACAGGAGCAATTTGGGGTGAAGTGTCTTGCCCAGGGACACAACGACATGCTGACTGCAGTGGGGTTCGAACCTGTGACCTCCTGATCCGAACACCAACCCTCAACCCACTGCACCACACGCATTCTTAAGAGGCAAATACTTGACAGCTCTTATAAAAACACATTATTTTATTTGAGGACTTCTGCAATAATGCTTATGTTTGTAAATAGTTGCTTTTAGCGGTATAGCTTACTTTCCCAGTAAAGAAGGAAAACTGGCAAATCTAAGAGAAACTTTAAGAAGGGGAAGTGCTACAAAAGGTTAGCTTTTGTCATGCATTTTAAAGCAGCATTACTTCTGTTTCTTACCTGGGTGTGACCCGGGTCAGCTCATCCGTCGGGTGGAGGATCCGACAGGTAGTGAAGGTGTAGGTGGAGCTGGTGTGGGCCATGCATTTACCTGGGTAGTATGCAGCTGCAAATCACACAGACACAGACAGTAGTATTTTAAATTCACTGTACAGTATTTCATTTTACATTCTGTTCTTGTTTATCTTATTCTATTTACATGTAGACTCCTGCATTTACTTGGTTGGTCTCTTCTAAAAGTGATTTTCAACCACTGTGTGCCGTGGGAAACTGTCCAAATTAACTTAATTGGTCAACAAATACAATGATTTAGTTGCTGCAAATAAAACCCAACAGTGTCACAGTGCCAAGCTAGCTTAAACGTCATCTCCAAACGAAACACCCGTCACTTCAAAACAAGAACACAGACCATTTGGTTCGCCTGCGTTAACAGGTTACTGTTAGGAGACAAAACACAAAGACAGAGCTTTAAAATCTAGCTACTGTACTTAGGAGCTGAACTCGTAGCCAAATTGAGAGACTTGTCATTAAATAATCAATATATAAATTCTGCATTATGCTACGATGGGTCATTTAGTAACTCATTTGGTTTTTGCAGTGCCGTGGGATTTTTTTCATGTGGAAAATGTACTGCTGCTCAAAAAAGGTTGAAAAACACTGTCGTACAAAATTCTACTCTACTCTGTTTCTTCTTGCACAATTGATATTGTTTTTAAAATGTGTCTTATATATATTTATATTGAATTGCTGGTAGTCTGGGATTTAGGATTTTCATCACCATTAACAACAGTGTAGGTCCTTTGCATTAACAACAAAGACTTTGAAAATAAAATAAAAAGACCCATCTTAAATCGTGATAAATATCCAGTATGTCCTCACCCAAGGCATCTAAGTTGCTGAGGTGTGGAGACGGTGATGGGGGTGAAGGTGGAGTGAGGATGGGGGTGGGAGGCTGCCCGATGCTGGTGACCGCGGTGATGAAGGTGGAGGTAGAGGTGGGGGGCACGGCGAGCGAGGCAGAGGAGGTGGAGGTGGGAAGATTCTGGAAGTACTGCTCTCCTGGCTCTTCCTCCTCAAAGCCCCCCCACGGATAAACCTGGAGATACACAGCACGGCACAGAGAGGAAATCAATACAGAGGCATGCATGCAAGATATTAAGTCATGAATACTGTATATGACTCAGAAATGTAGTACACACACACACACACACACAGACCTGCTCCAGGTCCAGCTCCAGGGGTCTGTATCCCTTCGGCACGACCCCCGGCCGGGCGTCCAGGATCACCCCGAGGTGAGGCTGCGCTAACTGCTGCCAGTGGTGCAGCGTGGCCGAGCCTGGAGGAGAGACACAAACACAGCTGTGTGTTTGCAATGTCTTTATACACACACACACACACACACACACACACACACACACACACACACACACACACACACACACACACACACACACACACACACACACACACACACACACACACACACACACACACACACACACACAACTTATCAAAAACTTCACAAAGTAGAAATAGGAAACTGAATATTAGCATAATAGGGCCCCTTTAATACTTGATGTGCAATTATTTTACCGTCAGGCATATAATACTATTGATATAATGAAAAGTCACAATAGCTTACTGCGGCCTATAGGATTAAGTATATATAATGAGTGTGTGAAAAATATATATATGTATATCCTTTATTTAACCAGGTAAAAGTCTCATTGAGATTAAACTCTCTTTTTCAAGAGCAACCTGGCCAAGAGGACAGCATGAACAAAGTTACAACAAATGAACACAAAACAACACAGGCAGACGAATACAGCTGTCGTAAAACACAAATGAAATGGCACATTAACCAGTCAATATGCAAATAAAATGTGTTTTGTGATATTGGTGCAAGGACAAATTGATAATTATTCTGCAGTTTAAAGTAGATATCTAAAACATATCACAATAAGCACTAGGATAAGGGCTTTTTGAGAGAGACTGCGTATTATATGCATGACACATATCTAATAACGGTATACATTTTATGCTAATAACAACTTTACCTTTTTCTAATAAGCGTATCAATGGAGAAAAATGTCATAGATCAGAATGACAAACAAAGATGGTAAGAAAACTCAAATATGATGAAAAGGAGAGGAATAAAATGTAAATGAAATGGAGGAGAAATGAGATGAGAGAAGGTTTTTATTAGTCAGCCATGTGAATTTGAAACAGAGAGAGGAAGCAGTGACAGAATGAGCAAAGGAAGTTGTAAATAAATATTAAATGGAAAAGAAACACAAAGAAAGAGAAATACATAAAGAATAAATGGGATGATGTGAACACAAATAACAAATGGATGTAAACAGAAGCAAACGACAAAGTTGAAATACATGTATGATGGATTGTTTGCTAGGTTAACAGCAGAGAGTATGCTTATAAAATGAAGTTTGAATTATCACCAGCAGAGGGCAGCAAAGGCAAACAGACTGAATCACACGGGGATAATAAAACGCTGCTGAGACTCTGGATTTAAACTTGAGCGTTACACTTGGGGCTTTTCAATGATGTTACATATGGCACTCTCCAAAATAAAGAAAAAGTTGTACCTTAATACTAAAGTCCATTTAAAACCCTTAAATGGTTATAGTATCCTGGGGGGATACAGTCATTTCATAGGCTACGTGTGCAATGTAATACTGGTGTTACATGGGTGCAATATGGGTCTAATAACAATGTCATTTAGGTCTAATAAAAGTGTAACATGGGTGTAATAACAGTGTAATAACAGTGTAACTATAGTGTAACATGGGTGTAATATGGGTGTAATAACAGTGTAACATGGGTAAAAGAAGGGTGAAATATGGGTGCAATGTGGATAATATTTACATGTGATCGAACCTAAGGGTAAACACATATTGACTTATACCCAATTGCGCCTAGGCACGTGCAGAGGATGTTTGAGGGGCAGGGGCCCAAATTCATAGAAGCGAAGTACCTGTCATATTATTTTAATGTTGTAGTTGGTCGATGTGGAGCCAATTAAAACATGTTTTTTTTAATAATGGGTAGATTAGTACAGTAGTTTAAAAACTAAACTATTTTAACCGAGGGCCACATCCAGAAAAATATACGAATATGCTTTAAGAAAAGGCTTACATCACAGCTCTCAAAAGGGGTTTCATTTATTTTGTTAGCAGCTCATTCCTTAAAGCAGGAGCCTCAGATTGCTTATCATAAGAGGAAATAGAAAGGGTTTATTTCAAGCGTGTTGTGAAAATAAGTTATCAGGCTTTTTTATTATTAACTTAGATTTGATAGAAAATGTTTTCAACTTTAATTGACTGAATTTGTTTGAAGAGGGCTTCTTAACACATGAATACTGTGTCATATCTGTTTTCATCTATATTTAAGAAGTACAAGACAAGCACAAGTTTCATTTTTGGGCCATACTCCATTGTACTTTTTTTTATTTGCTGAGGGCCGATTCAAAATGGCCCGCGGGCCGCATTTGGCCCCAGGGCCGTAGTTTGGACACCCCTGGTCTACAACCATCCCCTGGGCTGCGTGTCTTTGTAGTAACTGTGTGGAGACGCGAAGCTGCCGGACTTGTGACGGTGCATCAGAGACCAGAAAGAGTTGAAGAGCATGAGCGGCAGAGGCCTCTCCTTCGCTGCCTTCCCCTTCCTGCTGCCGGCTCGGTCTTTGGCCCACCTCCTCCCTCTCTCCCTCTCTATCCCAGCTCTGGTCTTCCTGACCCACCCCCATCCTCTCTCCCTCTCCCCCTCCGTCCCCAAACTTCTCTTGCTGCCTTTCTTTGGCCCGATCACTTTCTGTTTGTCTCCTTCCCGCTTCCTCCCCGCCTTGCAGCTCGGCTGATTCTCCCTCTCTCCCTCACCTTCGAGCGGTTTGACGATCTGGAGTTTGTCGGGGAGGTAGGGCCCCCGAGAGGCCCAAAGGTGGAGGTTCCCGAGGGACATGATGCTTTCCGAGGGGGTCATCCCACTCTCCTGGCCCATGGCGTCATGTAGACCTTCGTTTCCTCCTCGTTTCCGAACCCTCTCCTCTTCAAAGAAGCGCCTCTCGCTCAGGTTGTTTTGTCGACGCAGAGAAAGGCGGCGCAGGGCGAGACGAAGGTCCTCCGCTCCGGCTGCCTTCTTCTCTCGACCCTCTGAGCTGCTGCCAGAGAGAAACAGAAACCAATGTTACTCAATTACATCATTAGAGACTCTTCCCACCCCAACCATGCATTGTTCAGGGTTCATACACTTTTTCACCAATGATTTTCAATGACTTCTCCATGACCTTTACCTAAGTTTCCATGACCAAAAAAATTACTCTTTCTCAGCGGTACCACTGAAAATGTTAACATGGAACAGGAAAATAAGGTCTGCATATGAAACATGTTGTGCCTATCTAAAACAAATCAATAGGCTTACTAGCTTCTACACACTAAAGCAACTAAAATCTCTCACCAGCAAAATACCTCGTCAGTTAAATACTATTTTATGTTTCATTACTATACCATACAGTATTTATTATCATTATAGCATTACTATTTCGGCGATTAGATCAAATATAAATTATATTTGATGCAACTTTAGTTACATTTCCATGACTTTTCCAAAACTTTGGGAAAAATATTATTTTCCATAACCTTTCCAGGGCCTGGAATCTGCATTTAGAATTTCCATGACTTTTCCAGGTTTTTAATGACCGTAAGAACCCTGATTGTTTATCCCCCTACTGTACGTGGCACTCGCTCTGGGACACGCTACCGCAGCCTCCCGGGTAGAACCAACAGGACCACGCACAGCTTCTTCCCTTCAGCAGTCAGACTGCTGTCAATGAACTCCACGCTGTCCCACACTGCCTAGTGTTGTTGTGTGCTGTGCTGAAGCGCATTGATCCTTGCACATATACTGTATTTACGCTCAGTGTACTTATTCTTATTTATACATTTTACATCTATTTACCTTTATTTGTATCATTTATTTTGTTCAGACTGCTGATTGATGTGTATATAACTGACTGTTTGCACTCTGGTTAGACCCTCCTAATTACATTACACTCTGCTTGCATTATGTAAGATTAGATTAGACACTCTGCTTGCATTAGATTAGACACTCTGCTTGCATTATGTAAGATTAGATTAGATTAAAGTAATCAATTAATGAGGATACATTTCATGTGTCATTCTGTTGAGGCACATCTAGTTTTCCACAAATAGAGCAGAGCCTGCGAGCTAGTTCATGCAATCAACTCGGGCTCAAATGATGCATACACACGTGGATATAACTCTCATACAACCAACCAAACACATCCTGCTATACGTGGGATGCGTATAGGCTATACAGTATGTGAGTTGTCTGAGTGAACCAACATTTGAATAATCCTCAATCCTCATTTTAAGGATCCCTGAGAGGAAAGTCAGGGAAACAGGTGAATATCTTTGGTTAGTGCCGACCATTTAAAAAAGCGTTGTTATTGTTGTAATACTAATTTGCACTACTAACCCATGTTCTGAATTGGACAAAATGCATTCATCTTGTCTTTTAAATTCAAATGCACTCAGACTCTTTCATGGCTTGAAATGAGTATTACAAAGAAAGACAAAGAAAACATCTCCAAAAACAACAAAAAGAAACCAAGAAAAATGTGATTGCAAGTCTCGTTTTTTAACCTGGCAAAAAAAGAAAAGTTAATTTGTTGCCCAGATACTGTAAATGTCCTCAAAATCATCTTCCTCTCTAATGTATTAACTGCATGAGCCCTGCTCCCCCTCACCTGTCCTGATTGGCTGCCTTCTCCATCAGGATGCTCTGCGTTCGGTTGTCGAGGGCGACGCTGTCTCCGCTGACGTCTCCTCCGTACATGCTACTGTACGGCGTGGAGAGGCCGCTGGACTGTGGAGACGTGCGGGCCGACAGAGACTGGTTGGACCCCGGGATGTTGCTGGTCGGAGTCAGAGAGCGCTGACGGACCGTCTGGTTCACGTTCTTCACCGTCTCAAACACACGCCTCCGGTGGACTCTGAGCACAACCCAACACACGAGAATTAGCCAATACTGGGTGCATTTAGTGAAGTGTTGGTGTTTGTATGTGTGCAAGCTTTTACTCTTATGCTGCATTCATGTGATATGAGAGTAATCCAGAAAATGTACTTCTCCAATGGGAAAATGTACATTAAAGGTCTCCTATCATGCTATTTTTAGGCATATATTATGGGTCTCAGATATATTACAAATATATAAAAAACATGTCTATGATGTGTGGAGAATAAGCCAATACTGGGGGCACTAAGATAAGATAAGATAAGATAGGACTTTATTGATCCCGAAGGAAATTGTTGTGCCAGAGTTACAAAAATACAATAAACACAGCAGCATAGTAATAAAACTGTACCTTAAAGGTGGGGTAGGTAAGTTTGAGAAACCAGCTCGAGTGCGCTAGAATTTGAAAATACACAGCTGGAAAAAATCTGCCACTTCCTTACAGAGCCCCTCCTCCAACACACACGAACGCGCACATGACCAATGAGGGCACGAGATAAGTTTGTGCACAGATGGAAGGCTGACAGGCAAGTAGGCCATCCAGTTATTTTAGCCGGGCCGGCTCAAATGATTGGTCGTACTTTTTACAGCACTACGGCTTCCACAGATGACATTTTTTTTATGGATTTTTTGTCAAAGCACTTAAGATATTCATTGCTATCGGGATGTTAAGAGCATTCCATGGAATATAACAAAAAGTGTATCTCGAGCCGGTTTCTCAAACTTACCTACCCCACCTTTAACTCATGTAAAGCATATACAGTTTGTGCTCATATGTTTGTATGTTTCTGTCCATGTACTGTAGAGAGACTTTTATTAGTTAGAAATTCATTTTATTAGCATTAACCACGAAAACAAGCCAGGTTAGGCAATATTTGAGTGGTTTTAGAGAATATTCTGATGCAGCAACAGGAGCGAGACACAATCACTAATATAAACAATATGAACAGCTACCAACATGTTGTTTAAACACTCTGTGCAATATAATACAACACATCTTCTTTGAGGCGTCCATGTTGTTTCCATATTACAGCTTAAAGCTCACATGACTTCCTAATTATTTTTATGTAACGCTTGTTTTAAATTAATAAATGTGCTTGCTCCGCTGTCTAAAATACATCCAGATGTTACAGAGCTGCAGCAGATTACCCACAGACTGTTTAAATTGCAATTTTAATACTCCAAAACATATTTTTGAAAGGTTTCAAATCCTGGAAAAGGCTACCTGATCACTTGAAATCTTCACCACTTTTAAGAGAGCTACCAAACCCTGGTTGATTCAGCAAGGAACCTGTACTCAGATCTGGCTTTTAAATGTAATGTTCAAAATGTGTTTGTGATTGGATCGCAATCTAGTCTGTAAAACGTCACTATTTAAATCTTCTTGCTTCATAAAACTCCTTTTAGTTAGTGACAGCGGTTGCAAACTAGCATTAGCTATACACACAATGATAGCAGATCAAATTGCCTATGTTTATGTATGTACGTTGCAGTTGTCCATACCAAGTTCACGATGAATACAATTAAATTAAATAACAAATGGGACCATCTGAGGAGCTCATGAATGCAGCATTAGTCCATACGTACTTCTGTTCCTCGCACTCGGGGTCATCCATACTCAACTCCTTCCTCATCGTTCCCTCGATCTCTGCTGCCAGAGAATCCTGAAACACAAACGGTCCACGTGAACAATTGGATAACAATCATGGACACACCTGCACACACACCCTCACACACTCGCTCACCATCGGGTAGAGTCCCAGAGGATGGCAGCGGCGAGGCGTTCCTGCAGGGAAGTTCCTGTTCCTCAGGTTCTTCAGCTCCTCCTGAGCTTCATGCAGCATCTCGATACACTCCAGGTACTTCTCATCCAACTCCTGGAGCTGTTAGCAACAGACGTTCAAATGATCTTATTGATGTGAATTTGTGTTGTTTGACCTTGGCAAGCGAGAAATTGTATTTTTGTGGAAGTTACCTCCAGTGTGAGCTGCCTTTGGGCATCTTTAGCTGCCACCAGGTGCTGAGAAAGCTCCTCATTCTCCACCGCAAACTAGAAACACACAGGTAGGTTTAAATAAGCTAAATAGCCATCATATTAGATTAGATTAGATTAGATTAGATTAGATTAGATTAGATTAGATTAGATTAGATTCCTTTATTGTCACTACACAGAGTACAACAAAATTCCAAGCATTCCCGATGGTGCAATCACACATACCAGACAGTATAAGTATGATTTTGACAATACAAGCTAAAACTTTTAATATATAAAGTGACTATAAATTGGACCTATGATACATTCAACAGTATGCTTAAAAAACAATACAACATTACCATACACATACAAGAACAATACGGTCAAGGCACATGATGTACAGTACAAAATGTAAACAAGTCAATAAGTAAGTTATTGCACATGTATTTATCAGTGCAGTTGATAATTACAAAACTAGAAATTACATTACATGTTACTTGTTAGACGCTTTTATCCAAAGCGACTTACATACTCAATACTGTGGACAATCCCCACAGGAGCCATTTGGGGTGAAGTGTCTTTCCCAGGGACACAACGACATGCTGACTGCAGTGGGGTTTGAACCCTGATCCGAACACCAACGCACTACTCCACTACGCCTCCCGGTATGAGGTAGAATAAGGTGCATAAAAACATCATACAGTATAATCATCGTAAAAATGATATGCGACTACCACGATGATCAGATACATTAATGATGAGCATTTCTTTCTTAGCCTTTGCATATACAGTATGTTTTGAGTAATGGCTTCCATATTTGTGGACGGATTTAGCTACTTTCTTAAAGTGTTGTGTTGTGTATCCCCCTCCATGGTTTTATGTGAAATCTTGATAGAGTACTCACAGTTTTGGTTTTCTTTTGCAGGTCTACTAGCTGAGAGAGCAGGTGTGTGATATCTTCCTGTTGGCGGGAAGCATCTTCAGTCTTACGAGCCAACTCCTCCGCTATGGTGTTGATTTGGAGACTGGACATCCCTGTAGGGCATAACACGAGAGAATTTAGGAATCCAGTGAAGTTTTTTGAAGTTTCGACACTAGAGATAGGACGGTAAATGAGGATGTAAGCGTTGATTGTCATAAAAACCCATTTTCATAATCTGTAAAATGATCAATAACTTCATATAAGTGACTGTAAAATGTGTCGAGCTCCATTATATCGTATAACAATGTAAGATAGAGCCCGATTTGGAAAAGAACGAACAGGAATAATCCAGATGAAAAGAGAGAAGTCAGTCAACACTCACGGAGCTCTTTCACACAGTCGTTGACAAGCTGCTGCTCCTTTTCTTCATATGTTTCTGTCTCCGATTTCAGATGGTTTGCCTGTGTGCAAAAACATATTAGGTAAATATAAATATACTCTCTAAAATCCCATACTTCTTAAAACTGTGTTGATGTGTGGAGATACCTCTGAGCGCAGAGAGAGGTTCTCCTCTTCCAGCTCTTTGAGTTTCCTCTGCAGCGTGCCCCCCGGAGCGATTTCCACTTGACTTCTTTTACCCCTTCGGACAGAAGAGTAAATATTAGACTTACACTTTCCCATCGCTAGTATTGACAGATGGGAGGAATAAAAGAAAGCAAAAAAGAAAGGGTGCTCACGTTGGGGAGCTGCTGGACTCGTCCTCGCTCTCGATGGCGTTGGTGTAAAACTGCAGCAGCTCGTCCTTCAGGTTCAGCTCATGGTGCAGCTGAGCCACCTGGAGAGGAGTCATAATGTTCAACACTCGAGTATATCTCCAGAGATGGCAAAAGTACACACATCCTTTACTCAAGTGGAAGTACAGATACTCGTGTTTAAAAATACTCTGGTAAAAGTAGAAGTACTGACTAAACTTCTTTACTCAAGTAAAAGTAAAGAAGTAAGGGCAAGTAAAAAGTACCCATAACTAGCAGCTGTTTTAAAGAGTACCTGACCTCCCTTTATATTAATAGAACAATAATGTCATTGTTAGCTAATGAATGTTTCCATGCTGAACAACGGCAACATGACAACGTTTTCATTGGTCCCTCTTCTTTAGAGAAGACCAGGAAATGATGGATACACGGATCGTGTTCAAATCAATAGGCACCCAATGACTCTAAATAATAATGATCACGCCACCAAACACACATTCAAACTAAAGGAACCAGCCTGTTTTGAAAATGTAAGAAGTAGAAAGTACAGGTATTTGTGTTCAAAATGTAAGAAGTCAAAGTAAAAAGTCGTGGAGTAAAGTACTGATACCAGGAAAATGTACTTAAGTATGAAGTATTTGTACTCCACTACTTCCCACCTCCCAACTGTATCGTACTTTAATGTTCTGTATTCATGCATGCATGTGCTGTGGGTTCATCTTACTGTATTTCATATGTAATCTCACATTCAAATCATTGTTCTTCTTAAAGAGATACAGTAGTTCAGATGTGAAATAGAAGTCAGAAATCAAAAAACACATTTTAGCAAATAAAAAAGAGGGGCTAAAATTAAAAAAATTAAATATCAGTTTAAGTGTGCCCTATATTTCCAGCCCCTTTAGACAAGTAACTGAAGCTGTGAAATGAATATGTTCTTTTCAAAGCCGACAGATATTTTTGATAAAAAAAGTGATTTTGGCTTGCAGAACAAGGTATCTACTGATCTACGCTGCCTCCATGGTTTCAATAGTTTGTATAATAGTGAACATTTGGTTGATACAAACCACTCTTTAAAAAAACAGAATAACACAAACCAACACAGACCAGCAACAGATCAGAAATCAGGTCAAAAAGGGCTGAATGAATGCAGTGTGAAACATTTTCAAAATATAGCGTACACTTGAATTATTTATTTTTTGGGGGAGTGGGTAAAAAAAAGTGCCTTATTTCAGTGATTGCTTTTTGAAACTTGGGCCTTAGCACCCACCATACACTCATAAATACAGGTGAGTAGCTTTCAGTGTATGTGGGTGTGGGTGTGCGTGTGCGTGTGCGTGTGTGCGTGTGCGTGTGCGTGTGCGTGTGCGTGTGTGCGTGTGCGTGTGCGTGTGCGTGTGAGCAGACCTCTTCTGTGATTTGTCCCACTCGCTCCTCCAGATAGTCATTCTGCTCGGTCAGAGTTCTGTTTTTCTTAAGAAGCGATTGACCGATTCTTGCAGCCAGCTCCATGTCTCTCTCTTTCTGTTGGTTGAAGATAAATCATTATTATAGCATCAATACCCCAAATTCCTACAATACAACATTATGAAACTACATGTGTTCTTGTTAGTGTCCTGTGGGGGTGGAGAGTCAGCCACTGTTGGTACTTTTAGAGCAGAATTAACTCACTGCTTTCTGTATTTTACATATTATTCGATCACAGTTATCTACAACTGTTTATATACAATTTGGGTAAACTACGGTGCAAAACCTCTCCGTTGTTTAGGCTTATTATAAATCCCCGGCGCAGCTTTGAATTACACTTATAAATTGTGCAATAACAGGCCGTCTCACCTCCTCCAACAGACGTGTGACAGCATCGATGTCATTGTAGGTCTTCGTCATCTGGCCCACTCTGTCTGCACATAGTACTGTGGAAAGACAACAAGTTGAAGAGATAAACGGTCAGAATAACACTCAAAACTTCAGGAATATAAGTGAGGAATTCTTCCAAAAATCTCTTATATAATTTACTTATACTTATAATATACTATACTTAATCCTCCCAAGTTCTGAAGACTGACAGAAAAGTAGAAATTGCCCTCATTATAGTTGAACAAATATAATTTAAATGGGGAGTGTTGATACTATATACAGTATGCGTCACTTCCTGCACCAAAAAATAGACAACCAGAAGGAAATATAGACAGATATTTTTAAATACAGTTACCATATTTTATCACAAAATGTCAAATGTTGTATTATCCCTACTAACCTCTCTTTGTATCGATATAATGCCTGCATTTGTTCACGTTTGTCTTAGTAACATCGAAATATTTTATTTATTGAATTTACTTCTTTCATTATATATTGAATTATATAAACTTACATTTTATTATAAACTGCCTTTGTTAAATGTAATCATTGCCCCTTTTTAAAATCGTCACTGATTGTAAAATGTATTGCTAATAAAGCCTTTTTAATTACATTTAATTACACCAGTGATAATATGCAGAGCTACATTCAGTCTGAGAGAAAACGCTGAGTCATGCTTTGTTTCTGGGTAAAAGAAGTGGGACGTTTGTGTTGATATCACCTTTCATGTTATCTCTTCTGGTGTGGGGGGCATGGACAATAGCATGCAAACACATTACATACAAAATAAATAAATAGTCATCCTTTCGGGGAGGGGGTCATGGTCAGGATGTAACACCTCCATCACCATTGACGTTATGTATGAGAGAGCAGGGCAGAGGATTTGCCTCTGAGCTCTTATCGACTTCAGAGCTCAAATCAATGACATGCGTTGACAAAGTTATTGAATATACTGTGACGCTTCTGAGTCCTCCAGTTAGTATTACAACCAGAGCAAAAAAATGTAATTGTCGTTTTATTAAAGTACAAATGAGTTTATTGTATGTTCAAAAACTATCTACTCTGTCTCAGTCAGGCACATTAGTGGACTGTAGGGATATGTGAGTGCGCTCGAGGCCTGATATGTCAAAACAGAGCAAATTCAAAGTCAGTGGCTTCAGGAAGATTCCTCTTAATGAGAAGAAGAGAAAAGAAGAGACAAGCTGCAGTGTAAAGTTAAGCGGGAATACACAAAATTGTTACTAAATGGTTTTATTTGTTGCTAGAGATCCGGAAAATCCTGAAATATTCTAATGTTTTAATGCAATTTGTTTCTGTCTTCAAACTAACTTTAACGGACATCTTGCACTCCAGTCTACTGTGCATTCAAATGAAATCAAAGTACTAGAAATAACATCAAATGCCACCATTCACCAGAAGTACTCAGATTTTAGTTGAATTTAAGTCAAAGCATTACTACACTGTAAATATACTCATTAAAAGTACTGCATTCAAAGTTGTACTTAAGTCAAAGTAAAAAAGTATTAGCATTAAAAAATACTTAAAGTACCAAAAGTAAAAGTACTCTTTTTGCAAAAATAGCGATTATTAATTATTATTATAATAATGAATCATTATTATCAATTTTGCACTTGGTAAAGGTGAGGTTTATTTGAACGACTTTATACTGTACACTACTGGGTATCATAACTTATAATATAATGAGTGCAGATTTTGTATTAATAACCTAAACACCCCAAATCTGCAATTTAACTAATAACTAAATATATAAAATAAATGTAGTGAAGTAAAAAGTACAACATTTGCCTGCAAAATGTAATGAAGTAAAAGAATAAAGTAGCTTATATTATGTGAAAATACTCAAGTAAAGTACAAATAACTACATTTATCACTCAAGTCCAGTACTTGAGTAAATGTACTTACATTACACCACTGCCATTCACCAATCTACTTAACCCTGTCGCTAATTTCTCATATTTTCGACATGTACTTCACCTTTCTGCTCCTCCTTATAGTACCAGTCACAGCATTTATCCCTGGGCAATCTCTCCATCCTGCTCTTGTTGTCCATCTCTTCCCTGACCTCCACGATGAAAGAGGAACAACAAGCGGTGATGCATTCACTGTCCTCTCCTACTCTCTCTGCTGCTCAGCTGCTCACCCTCCACCCACATGGAGGCATTGGAGGCGGAGATATGAGAAAGTGTGGTTGTGTGTGTGAGTGTGTGTGTGTGTGAGTGTGAGTGTGTGAGTGTGAGTGTGAGTGTGAGTGTGAGTGTGAGTGTGAGTGTGAGTGTGAGTGTGAGTGTGAGTGTGAGTGTGTGTGTGTGTGTGTGTGTGTGTGTGTGTGAGAGTGTGCTCTCCAGCCACTGAGTTGGAGGTGAAACGGAAGTAGAAGGGTATAATTAGAGAGGATGAAGGACGGGAGAAACAGCCAATCAGAGATGGCGATGTTGCCGTGCAGACAGAAACTCCCACAATTATTTTCCTACTTCCCTTCATCCCCTCGCTTCCTCTCTCTTCTGCTCTGGTACATCTATCTGCCTCCAGTGACTGTTACTATGGTGACCCTCATGCAATAACAAACCCCTGACACGCACGCACGCACGCACGCACGCACGCACGCACGCACGCACGCACGCACGCACGCACGCACGCACGCACGCACGCACGCACGCACGCACGCACGCACGCACGCACGCACGCACGCACGCACGCACACACACACACACCACACACACACACACACACACACACACACACACACACACACACACACACACACACACACACACACACACCACACACACACACACACACCACACACACACACACACACACACACACACACACACACACACACACACACACACACACACACACACACACACACACACACACACACACACACACACACACACACACACACACACACACACACAATGGTCTGTAAAGGATCAAATATCCCTGTGATTTTCCTCTGAAAATGAGCGTAATAGGGCCCCTTTAAAATAATCACAGAGCACATACTGTACTCAACATTGTTTTTCCTATGAAGCATGGCACCACCTTGTGGCGGGAGGGTATATTATCAGGTGTATTAAAATAAACCTGCACTATGTATTTGTATTACTATTTTGCTTACATTTGATTTTCCTGCGAATCTCTTGGAAAATCAGCCAAGTATACTGTCACTATTGAGACACATTTAAAATCCCCTTTTTGAAATATAAAAACCCTCTAACTTCATCCTTAAGTGCTGTAGAAGCATTCAGAACACATAAACAATAATAAACAAACAACAAGTATCAATATTAATGGCAAACCTTTTAAAACGGTTTGTTTGAGAAAGCCTCTGAGTGATCTGCTCTCTGAGACAAAGGACCAGAGGATGTATTGATCGTCCTGAGCCAATAAGCAGAATCATTATCTGTTTTACAAGAATGAAAATTAAACCAAAAATAGAAAGGAGGTATGGCATTAACAAGCCTGTGAGATTACTTCCAAGCAACTCATTTCCTTGGAGAAGTAGAGGGTGGAAACTTTAAAACAAGCTGTAATGACAAGAAAGATGATGAAAATGTAGTAATATTACTGTAAACCTATACCATAATAACCCTACCATATAGCCCTTATTTAACTTAATGTTAAACGTATAATAGCATATGCCCTTACATTCTTGGTCATTCAAATTAAAAGTCAACTAACCCTAAAGTAGATCATTTTTTCCAAGAAGCGATTGAAGGATTAAATACCCAGGTGGTTTAATCCTTCACTTTAAAGCCATATATTCCACCATTAACCCCAGAGATGAAAATCCACCAGGTTTAATCTCCAGGTTCTGTCATTTATTACTTTTCTGCATTTCCAACGCCTGGATTTTACTACTAAAAGCTTCACTTCATCGGGAGCACGGGCAGCACAGCAAATAGATATTTTAAGATGATGTCAAGACTCACAGAAGTATTTGAGGGTCTCTTCGATCTGCTCGGTGGTCAGGTCGATCCTGGTGTCCGGGGCGACCAGCGGCGTGTGCAGCCAGTCATCGTGGTCGTAGCCATAGACGGTGTCGGCCCTCAGCCGGTACACCGGCAGCTGCTCCTCCAGCAGGCTGATGATCTCGAACTCTGGCAGGTCGGTGCTGTTACACACATCTGCACAGAGAGGACAGGGGGGACAGACCTCAATATACTGCTGCCTGCAGGCCTTTTTAATGTCCTATCTATTAATATTATGTATTAAAGAACCATATAACTACTTTCAAAATGCACAGACTTATTGTAAAACATTTTTTACAGACAATTGTCATAGTCCTAGCCTATTTCCATCTCCTAATGTTTTGTATGTCTCCTATTGTTTGTATTTCTCAATTTTTTTTGTACGTCTCCAATTTTTTACAACAAACATAGTTTTCACAATAGTCTTTATAATATTTCTATGTGAAAAAAAAGGTTATGCTCAAATAATAACCAATACAACTGCAGACAATGTGTTGATGGATAGAGGTAATACAAATGTTGCTTCAAGCTGCATTATTTAGTATGCCTTTAACAAAGTACAAAACATTGTCAAATATGTTCATTTAAAATCATGGTTTGCATGTCATTAAAAACATCAAACTTTAGCGGGAAAACAAACTCAGAAAGAGACGTCATAGTATAGCATAAATAGTATAAAATGTCTTTCCAGATACTCCATACTCCATAATATAAGCAAAAATCAAGTCTCTGTTTCCTAAACCATAGCACACACTCTCTCATTCGAACACACACACACACACACACACACACACACACACACACACACACACACACACACACACACACACACCTGTGATGGTCTCGGCATCCCTGCAGGCGGGGGGCTCCGGCTGCGTGGGGAGCAGGCTGGCCTCGGCCTCGCTCACATACTGCTCCTCGTGTGGGTGCAGCCCGTCAGGATCGGGGTCTGGGTCGGGGTCCAGGTCGGGGGCCGGGGGCAGGGAGGGGGCCGGGGAGGCCAGCTTGGCTCACCTCTCACTGGAGGAGAGAAACAGGGGCCATGGGCCTCAGGAGCAGCAGCTCTAGCAGGTCCACCTGACTGACAGGTACATCAAACCTGGAGGAAGGAGGGATGGAGAGAGGTTTTGAACAGAGACATACATATTGGTGTCGCTGAAACACAAAGTCTGCACTAATCAATGCGCCTCTCTCTTTGCTAGAGTCTTTAACTTCAAGTGCTGAGTCTGCACCTCGCTGAGGAACCACAGCCAATGCACTGCAGACAGAGAGCACTCTTCATCTGTCGGGAAAGAAGGCACATGGGGTTTAAGAGCAACTCCTGATGAGAGCATGATAAAATGAGTGTACTACTTAACTGATCCATGAACGTTTAGGACTAATGGGAGTTCAGCGACAAGTAAAAGCACAGAACAGTGGCTTTTTTGCTGCGAGGGGTTTCTGTGTAAGCAGCCAGAATGCAGGCTAACATGGGTATAAATAAGTCCTGATACTGTACATTGTTGAAATTAAGGTACAATTCTCAATTTGTTTGGTAAAATAGCTTGACAAGTTTGTTTGAAAGACGTGACCTGATAATGTATACCAGCTCACAACGACCGTTAAATATTATACATGTCTATTAACTTAATATCGATGTATTTACGTCCTTTATTTTAGGATAATTACTATTATTTTGAGCATTTTGTATTTGGTTTACTAAAGAATGTTTCTGTTGGCTTTGTTATTGCCATTATTAGCAATAACACTCCCCCCCTGCCTGAAACAACTTCATTGGATTCCTTTGTTTCCTTCCATAACAGTGACATCACTATGTAACACTTGCGCTCCAACACATTGTACGTGATAGGCTGAGGGTTCGGACATCTCTAAGCGGTTGACCAATCACAACAGAGCGGGCCAGCTAACCAATCAGAGCAGACTGGGTGCTGCAGCACAGGCAGTATGAGAAAAATAGAGACTTTTTTGAACATTAAAGCATGGACACATGTCAGCACACAATACATATAAGCCTTAAATGAGCATTATAGAGCCCCCCCTAAATATAACTCTGGAACCAGTAGCTATCCCTGCTGCGCAATCTCCTGAGTCTCTCAGTCTCAAAGGGAGGCCCTCCTCATAACACAGACTACAGTTTTACTTCTTAAGTGCCCTATCTGAAGTAGATGCAGAAGTGTTCGTGCATAGCGACCTTACAGTTTTGATTGTGCAGGGCTCACTGTTCAGCAGACTTCAGTCAGTAAACACACCACACATCGGATCATGAAATTCACCTGCCTGTCACATCAAACAGCGAGCGATGCGGAGCGGAATAAAAATAGAGACGAAAGAGAAAAGGTGTGTGTGAGTGTTTGTGTGTGTTTGTGTGTCCTCTGTAGCCAGATGCATGAATAGGTTCCTTTCTCTGTACTAGCACAGGATGAAAGACAGGTGGAGATGGATGAGTGCACCTGACATCAAATGCTTCAAGCACATGCGTGACACACCATCATAAAATAATGACCAGAGGCTTTTGCACATGCTTCTGTTCTCTGTTCAGCAGCATCACAACCTTGGGACGTCTTTCTCATTGCGGCAGCTGTTTTTTTACTCTCTGTTGTACTCTCTGAACCTTCTTAGTGGGCACTTCCTGTCTTACATAATATGTGGATATGAGAGGATTGTCAGTTTTAAAACTGCCAACACGCACATGCGGATTTGGGATTATACATTATGCATTTTGAACACTCCTAAATCACTGCCCTTATTCAACTAAATTATAATATGTCAATTTGGAAAAACTCCACCTTTCTCAGGTCCTAAAAAAGGACAAAAAGATGAACTCTTGGCATCTAAACGCTATTGAATGTATCTTCAGTAAAAAAAACATTGATTAGACACAACAGACATTAGGATTGATGAAATATCTCATGTTTTTTCATTGTTAGGGAAACAATTACTTAACCATAATTGGAAATCTAACAGTGAAGAGAGATAAACGTACATTGAAAGGTTTTTTTTCTGTTAAATAATGCAAAATGAAAGCAATTTATTGAGATATATCTTCGAAAGCACATGTCTGAGGCTTATTTGGTGTCCTCTAGTAGTAAACAAATATGCTACTGTCCTGCAGTGAATGCTGCAAGCTGCTAATGCTGCTGATGGTGCTGCTGGATGAATCCCTGTAAATAGGCCAGGGTTCATTCATGCATGTGGCTTAAACATATTATTTGAATGCTGTCTGAGGGCGTGGCTTCATCTCCATCAGGATCTGTCAGCACGGATGTGGTCTGTATGGTTTTGTTTTAAATTGTGTCCTTACAGTAACACAATAAGTGTGTAAGAACATGATCAGCTGACCTTATGATGCATGACATCGCCATTACAAATCTGAAGAAACATACTCACACTCAGCAGGGACTGATCCAAAGCGTTTTCTTTATCAGAAATCCAAAAAGGGATGAGTTCGGTAATCCTTCAGGGAGGAATTAGCGGATACTGATGATTGGAGATGTGTCCTGTCAGCAGTGTGTGCGGATCGCTGTTATTTGTATTTGTTTCTCTGGACTCTGAACACTGCTCTGCAGGATCAAGGTCACCTTAGGCTGTTTTCCAAAGTCGTTCTTGACCCGGTCCACTGTCCCTTCCCTTCAGCCATCTCCCTCTGTCTCTGGCTCTGGTGTCTCACTCTCTCCGGAGCCTCCCTCACCTTGAAGCTACACAGGAGGAGAGCTGTAACACTTCTGGTCTCCGCCTTCAAAATAAAATCCTAATCAGAGGATAGATTTTTTAAAACACACAAAAAATAAACAAAGAGGACATTTTTTTAATTGTGGGATTCTCAATATTGCATTAAAAAATACGTAATATGCAAAAAAACAATTTGTAATATAATTGTGTGATTAAAAAGTAACATTGTTTTGTGTCATAATACTCATAGTGTAGTGTGGCACAAAAACTCATAACTAGTTGAGTTTTCAAAGACACATGTAAAAGTCATACATACATTGTTTAAGAAAAAGTCGGATTATAGTATGGCAGAAAAATCATTAAAAAAAATCAAAGTATTTACACACTTACTAACCTACTGTAATTCTAACAATAGTTTTCATTAAAAAAAAAAAACTTCAAATGAAACCAGTTTTGATTCAGATTGAATTATATGTTATACGTATCAGCTTTATTTTACCTTAATTTCCTTATTCTAGGACACTGTATATAACTATACAAGTCAAAGAAGGCCTATACAAATTCAAATCAATGAATCTCCTGAGTATTTGTGTATTGTAGGCCTATGTGTTAATGTAATGTTTCGTTATGAACACCTCAATTTATCATCATAATTCTTTCAATTTTATATCATTTTTACTGGACATTTAAATGCCATTTTTGTGCTTTTATTTTCCTAAGAAACACATTGTTTTTAATCACTTCCGGTTGAAATATATCTGACTTTACAGTTTCTCTCCCTGCTGCCACCCAGACACCGAAACCAGCATCAGTGACGTCAGGAGCACCCACAACAGGAAGGGGCTATAAAATGCACAAAACATTTGTAAAATGTAAAACATAAACACCTAATACCTAATTCTGAGTCATCCAATAATACATTTTATGAGATTGAGTATTTCAATCTTTCAATTGTTTTACTCGTTTAGCTTAATATCATTTTTGTTGGACTATATTTTACAACATAGAGACATTATACCCCAGCAAGGTTAGGTTATCTTTCAACTGACATACTGTATGTACATTTCTTTTTTTCTTTTTTTAATGAACATTGACTTGAATCTGCAGTGATTGCCTCCCACTTGCCAAACTGGACTGTAGAGAGGAGCCATTGTTTTCCAGATAACATGCTGAGTCGGCCATTCCTCCATCAGACTGCTGTGGACCTGACCATGTTATCACTGGCTGCATCATTATTTATAAAAACTACAAGCCCAAGAAAAGACATGCCTAATTGTAATATATTATAATACATTACGTTTTGCATAGTGAATTTACAGTAACCTTGTACATTTGGTCCTTCTTCTTTCATTATTCTTTTGTCTTGGTATTGAGTTCTAGACATAACACAGACAATCTGTTAAACACATCATAAAACTATATTGCAACATGTCCAAATCAAAGGCATTCAAAACACAAATAAGAAAAGATAAGAGCAGAAATTATAAAAAGCCAAAATCAGTAAAATAGAATACTTAAGATTTGAAGCAAATGAATCAATTAAAACCAGAGCAACTGGAAATGAAATAGGATGAAATAGCAATTTAAAATTGCCCTAAAAGGATACAAATAAGGTAAGAGAGTAGAGTAGATAATTATCAAAATTGGGAAAACAATAAACTATGTCAATCATTATTTTAAGTTACTGATCAGTGCATGCAGGTTTTTAGATCAAATGTTCTTGAATTAGCTTAGGGGGATTGTATTTGTCAGCTCATTACGATGCACATTGACTTATTCTACATTAACATTGCATTTTATGAGTTTCTGTTGTGCATATCAAGCTTTCTAAAAGGTTTTTAATGTTTTGGTTGACTTTTTAGTGCAAGCTATTTTGCAGAATATCTTGTGATGCTTTGAAATACTCACGGGGACAAACTCAGCCTTTTCAAAAAGTGGTGGTGACATGTCCACAGTATAAATGACACCAGTTGATCTAATTAATTCACAGTGTTGTTCATTTATCAGGTCCGCTCTGTGTGAAAGGTACTGCCTTCATCCTGCTGCTTTTTAACCATATTATGTTGGCACTGTGAAGTAAAAAAAGATACCTTTATAATTTAGGACCACATAAATTACATGTACATCTTTCATTATAAGTGAATGACAGACTGGCTGAGGTTGAGGATATCCCCACACATTGTTTCTTACAGATTTCTGGTGAAGATGTGTTGTGTTTACCCCAAATGAACAATCGGTATTTTATTTCAAAATTGTGAATGGCAAGTGCAACTGATGCTTCAATCGTTTGCATGAAGAAAAGGCATTATAATAGCCAGT